GATTCTACATTCGTTAATGATCCAGCACCACACACACACACACACACACACAGATTTCCAAAATAAACTGGGCTGATTGTTGGGGCAGATGTGGGTCAGAAGAGGCAGAGAGGGTTGTCCACTATCCTGAAGATCCATAGTTCGATCCCTGGCTCCTCTAGATTGCATTACAAAGTGTCCTTGAGCAAGACACTGAACCTCTACAAAAGTGTGTGTGTGTGTGTGAATATGACTTGTGCTGTAAGACCAGAAGTTGTAATATAAATACAGTTCATTTAACATATTGTCTCTTATTTTTGTAATCTCTTACATGATATTAGCAGCTACCTCTCCTCTTCTTTACATTTCTACTGGGGCTCATTACGAAGCCGTGGATTCTCTTCACCTCTTTGTCTTTCTTCGTTGAGGATTAGCTCTCCTTCTGAGGCAGCTGAGTGTTGGCCTAACTAAAGCTAGAATCTGCAGAACAGAAACCCGAACAAATGAGCAGATGTAGACAGACAGATCTGATATGAAGTCAGCATTAGCCTCCTGGCTGTCTCTGCACCTTCAGATCAAACAGCAGCTTCCTCCCGTCACTGGGACTAAGCTCCGCACTCGTTCTATAAGAGAAGGGAATCAAGCATCTCAACAAGTCAGCCTGTCGATGGATTTTCACAATGTGGGAGAAATGACTTTCCTCGCACCTCCGCTGCAGAAGAGTTCCTGTCTGATTGTAAAGGCCATTTCTTCACATCTCTCACATACGGAAACAAATAATCAAGAGGACAAATAGCATCAATCCAATTTTCAATTTGGCTTTTCACAGGAGGAGAGGTTGGTTATGGCGGCATTATGTTCCCAATCTACGCCACTGTCATGTCGAGAGAGGGAGTGTGTTTTACACAAAGGGAGGGGGGAACATCAAGGACGACTTAGCTTTGAATGTCCAGGTTTTTTTTCTATAAAGGATTTATTGTTTAAAAGTCTTCTTAACATATAGTCTTGTCCAGGTTTCCATCTTTTATTATCTCATTAATATGCTGCAGTGCCAATCTCTATTATGTGGTGGTTGATGATATGTTAATGGAAACAAGGAAGATAAATATAAAGTTTCTGAGTCACTCTCCTCCTAACTCTACTTTTTTAATGTACATAATGAGTCAAATAATAATTTTTGGGAGCCATTAAATTCAGTTTGTGTGGCGTATGTCTGCTGTGGATGTGCACACCTCTCTCCTTTTCTGGATATTAGACAGCAGATACCATTACACAGTCCACTGACTCCTGCTGTGTGTGTGTGTGTGTGTGTGTGTGTGTAATCCCCTGTCACTCCCACTCTCAGTCCCACTGGCATGATATTACCTGCTGTCTCTTACCGCAGTGCTTCCTCTCGTGTATCACTCCACAGTCATTGTTCTTCTTCGTCCCTCCTTCGTTGCGTATGAACATGTGCCTCCTTTCATTTCTGCTGCCAGCTTTCATTCCTTACCGTGCATGCTTTGTTGGATATGATCGTGCAGCGGCTTCATCAGTGTTGGCAGTGCACTGTATCAGTGGGGAAATGAACCGGGTGCTGTGCAGCTCACTCCGAGCTGAGGTCTTGTAAATGTTTCAGAGGTACAGTAGAGCAGTGAAATCTCAGCTACATAAGTTTCTTTGCACCAGAACAATAATGCAGCATTTTAATTAAATTTCTTTGACCTCATTAAATATACAGTCAGTTGTTCAAATGTTTGCAGTCAAAGATCAACGTTTACACATTTTCCCAGATATCTCTACAAATAATGGGATGAGAGAGAAAAAGATGAAGATTATATTCATTGGAAAATTATTGCCCGTCAATGATATAGGTAAAATCAAGTCAAAATGTCTACATGACCATAGACACAATGTAAATCTTCAGATCATATGTTAGAAATGAAAGTTCAGACCAAGGGGTTCATGTCTTCTGATATTCTGACTCAAAATGTCCGACTTCCTAGCGTTCCAATGCACAGTGACAAAGATGGCTGAGCGTGAGAAGCTGATGTTTATTAGACTTGTCATGAGACAATTCAACTGTGACCAGTGCAGCCTCCGTTCACACAGAAACAAAGCAGAGCAGGGACAACGACGCACGTTTTGGAAACACACTCCAGTTCATAAGAGGTGTGACGTCAGACAACTGCTCGTCTGTGAAGAGTACATTCAAGTCAGACCTCTGACTTTGATTTTCCAGGGATGTCGGAGGATTTGACATCCGAGTTGTCTGGAACGCGGCAACTGTCCAATTGTTTCCATTTGATCCAGTTAGTTTTGTTTCCACATTGCAACTGTGTCTGTGCATTCTTGACCTTGATTGGTTTGTAGTCAGGTGTTCGTCTGACGTTAGCGAGTTGTTTTTGAATAAAGTAGTATTTCTGTTTGTACGGGCAAAATGAAAGAAGCAATCCCCTTTTTAATTGTCTTGCCTCTGACATATGATTATGATTTTAGCACCAGAAAAATGAATGTCCTCGCTATTCAAACACCAGAGGAAAAGACTCCAAGCACCCTGTGAGCCGCTTCCGCTTCTTTTTCTTCATCTGTTTAAAGCTTTCCCTACTACTTTTTGAAAAGTTCAGTTCAGTTTCATCTGGAACCCGTTGTTTCGGGTCTGAGGCTCCTCTCACACTTGTTATATTTTCTTTGGGCTTGAGCAGTGAACCACGTGGAATTGGAATCGTTTACTGCTCCACACACCACATCTCAATCCTCACATAAAGTGGAAGGCGAATCTCTTTTGTAAGCTGCCCTCCACCGAGGAGACCTTCATCAGAGAGGGACTGTTGCAGCAGCCGGCGACACACGACCTTGATACCAAACAGCGTGCGGCTGAGAGCGGGGATCAAAGGTTGCGTGGGTGCACACCAGCGAGGCTAAGCTACTGCTGATCCCATTCATGACCTTCACAGGCAACAACAGAAGCTCCACTGCTGTTTCCTCCTGGTTTGAAGGTCAGTTTTATATTTGGCGTTGTGTTTCCGGAGATATTTGTGGATGACTGACATTTGTGGGCGTTTGTCTAACGTGTAAAATGTCTTTATGCAGGCCTACGATCAATGTAGATGTGGTTGATTGAGTGATGGACATCATATTTTGAAATCCAAGTGTCCTCTTGATGAATATACAGTAGAGTAGAAAACAATCAAATATTTATGTAGGTAGGTTCAAGCCTCCTCGTCGGCATTTCACCTCTGTCCTGAGCATCAAAATGACTGATGAGGTGTGTCAGAGTGGAACAGTCATTAAACTCTGCCTGAATATTCAGATGCTGTGTTGTGCACTTTAAAGGTGACAGTTTTCCTCAGCTAGCAAAAGGTGTCTTTACTTGGCTGAGGTGCCGCTGGGAGGTCGCTGAGTCAAATCCAGCATTCGCTCTCTGTGTCCTCCACTCCCACTTTCTCTCCTCACTTCACTCAGAGTTTGTCTGGAAATGAGTTAATGAGTAATAATATTTAAAGGAGCAATTCCCAGAAGATGACAATGTCCCTATGGGATTTATCTGGATGAGTATATCTACTTGCAGATTTTGGGGCATGCAGGAAAGATCCAGGTCAGAGCTGAAGCTGCGAGGACTCAAGCCTCCACATGGGGCGTCCAGATTTTGAGCATTGTCGATTTAATTCAGTTAATGTATTTTGTTGAATTAACATATTTGGAAAGTTACTAAAGTGTGATTATGAACATTATCAGTAAAATGTTCAGACATTCTGTTTTGTTTGGCAGTAAATATCCATTTGCAGTAGCTGGAGTATCATTATACTTTAAAATGTGGTGTTTAAACTCTCACAGCGCTCGGTTAAAGTCAGGTGGTCTAGAAATGAACTTTTCACTTGTCACGTCTTGGTCCACTGCCGTTGATAAATGTAGGGTTTTTTCATTTAAAAAAACAATACGATACAAATATAATTGAATGTTGTCCTGCAGTGATGTTGCCACCACAGTGAAGAAAAGCACTTTAGTTATAAATAAATGTAATTTTAGGAGACAGGGCTGGAAAGTGAGGACACTTAAACGTGTCCTTATTATTATTATTAAAACTGCCTCTCAAACAGTGATGAAGTGATAAATCTAAAGCTCCGGCCACGTTAAAATGTGAACTGCCTGTTGTTACTTCACTTGATATTTGTCCTTCACTGTCAAAGTCCCGTGGACATGAGTATGTGACGTCACAAGTGAGTTAACAGAAACAGTTATGGAGTATCTACTGAGCAAACACAATGGGAAGAAGATGTGGACAGTATCGGATCCTTTGCTGATCCATGTCATGTCACAGAATCATGTTACTTGTGAAGATAGACTGGTGGGTTAATGGATTACTAAATGAACGGGGCAGGTTCCGGTGGTCAGGGGGCTTCACCTGCAAAATGTTATCCCAGATGCAAAACGACTAAAAATAACATACAAAGAGTTAAAAATAATACAAAGACATAAAACCAACTGAAGTAGACAATAAAGGGACAGAAGTGACTGCCATTGTGTCCATCTGGTAGCTATGGGTTCTGTAGGAGACCTTCTGCAAAGCTTTTTGTCTCAGAATCCGTTTATCCTCTGTAGCTCTGTCCCTGGACGCGTGCACAGAAATGTGACAAGTACTTTGAGGAGACTGAGACGTGAAGTGTGCAGCTGCATTAAGTGAACACACGCTGTCAGTGCTGTGAGACCAGAGGTGGGACTCCCTCCAGGAACTCTGCGCGCTCTGTGGATCTCAGTGACGCATGACTCGGACCTGCGACACTAACTCTCATCGAAAGCCCCCCCCTCCTCTCTCTCCTAGTCTTCCTCCCATCGCTTCACAGAGGGCTGGTGCTGTGGCAGCATCCTCCTCATCCTCCTCTGGGTACCGGCCCCACCACCAGCACACCGTGCCAGCGGGGCGACTGACTGCAGCGCAGCGCAGCGCAGCCGGAGCGGAGCTGGAGGAGAGCAGAGGGAAAAAGAGAGCAGCAGCAGAAGAGGAGCAGAGAAAAGGAGGAGGAAGGACTGTCTCTCCCTCAACAGGCGGGATTATACTGTGCGGTATCCCGTCGCTTCACCATGCCTGTGGGGAGTAAAGGAGTCGCTGGGATTACTGCGTTTATCGGCTCCTTGCTGCTGCTGCTGCTCGGCTCCTGTGGGACAGGTGCGCAAGGTGAGCGGCTCCGTGCGCGTCCTGGAGAGAGTGTGTGGTTTCATTAAGTGGGACCCCCACGGTTTATTATTACTCTGTGAGGGTATGGACTAATACCTGGGGGCTGTGTGTGGCACAGGGCTGCTGCTGCTGCTGCTGCTGACTTTTTAATGTCCACAAATTAAAAGAGGAAAAATAGACTTTAAAATTAAACTTTACCTTCCGTATTTTATAATAAAAAAAGATGGAAAACACATTAGGAACTTTATTTAACTACTAGAATACATTTAAAACAAGTGGGAAATACGTTTAAATGTCTAAGACTCAAATATTCTATATATATTGAGAGCTGCAATAATAGATATTTTCACTATGAATACATTTGCTGATTATTTTATAAGTTGAATAATAACAATAGACAAAAAGATAATGATCCATTTTCTCAAATATGTAATAAAAACCAAATATATTTAGTTTACTATGATTTCAACTAGAGAAACCTAACAAATCTGCAACTTTGGTAGTTTTGCATAAAAAGATACTTCAATATCTTTAATTTTCTTGAACTTAATATAATAATGATAAGCTGAAGTCTTCAAAAGATCATGAGCTTAATTTTTTTCATTATTTGTTTGTTATTTGTTGTCTATAAGACAGGATCTGCATCCTGACCTGTTTCTCCATTTTTGGGGAAACGATGCCGCAGCTCATTCAGTTTATTCTGTGAATCTGGTGAATGAAACAGGCTGCATGTGGCTGCACTGACCCGTCCACCATGGGGTCTTGTTGCTAAAAGGGGGGCACACGTCCTCTTGGGGGTATTTTCTGCTGTCAAGTTATTTCTGAGATAGCGAATCCCACAAGTTGCTCGTTCCCATTTTGGCTTTTCCAGCATTTGATGTTTCCTCATGAGAGAAGAGAGGAGAGACTGTGGTCTGTCTGTGAAAAATGTGGGCAAAGCCACACAGGATGCTGCTGCAGCTCCTTCCTCAGCTCCAGGATTATCTTCAGAAAATATCCTAAAAAAGTGGGTCCTTGTGCAAGAGGTGATTCAGGGAGAAATCACAAAAATGCTTATTTGATTTCTGCGCGAGAGAAAATAGATAATTTACCCTGCAACAAGTGGGACAGATCGATAGATAGATGCCCCTGTTTGCAGATGAGGCATTCTCCTCCAGGGAGGCTTCAACAAATAGTTCCAGTAGCTGCACAACTGTATGTGTCTCAGTAAAATGTGGTTCTTCCCCCACTGTAATTACTGCGCACCCTCGGACTGATGCTGTAAATAAGAGCCGTCTATCACGTGACATCCCTGTGGGCAGATCGACTAAAGAAACAAAAAAAAATCAGTACTGGTCCTAATGGATCAGACGTTTTCACACACATTGTTAATCAGCTATAAAAGAAAGTTGTACAATCCAAGACTGAATGGATGAACGGCTGCTGGTGGACAGAGAATAAGGACGGATGCATTATGGGCATTGTTGGTTCCCAGTTGTGTTGATGGATTGTAAAGACAACATTTGCTTAATAAAATGGGACATATTGGTAATTTTTAACCAAAATTGACCGATACCCAGATAAAGTCGTCGGTGCCTCGGTGGGTTGAGCCAAAGACAAAACCTTTGCTGTGTTTCCCATAGTATGTTTTGCTCTGCAGCATATACTGTATATTATGTGTATACCGTATATACTGCATCTGTATCTGTCTTTCATACAGATTTTAATTCTTCAGCAGTGAAACGGGATCAGGTCAGTGTAAACATTTTCAAACTGGTCCTGTATTATACCAAACAGGACCACTAGATGTCACACCTTAACGAGAGCGAGCGAGCAAAGAGCGAGAGAGCACCCATGAATGAGAGAGTAGCGACTCCAGTCCACTTGATGGCGGTAATGCACCTCTAAGCTGGTTTTCACAATCGCCAATAAACATGTGAAGAAACAGAGAGTAAAGCGGCACCATGATGACACAGTGACACACTTTTAATTTTTTACATCCTCACGTTCAGCTGCCTCGTCTTCTCTCAAGAAAAAGCCGATAAACGTTCTAGACTAAACGTGCACACCCATCTGAAAAGATCTTCGTCAGTCTTTGTTTGTAGCGGCTCAGTTTTTTTGACCAACATCACATTATGTTAATCACATCATGTCGTTTATTACTAACACAATAGGCTACGAGTTGCTGTCGGCAGAGGTTTCTGATGAAGGTCGCTTTCCAAATTGCCAGAACCCATTGGCTGGTTTCAGATCAGGCACTGGACCAGACCCGGGCCAAACTGGAAATCGACCGAATCTAGAATGAGAAGGCTTCAGCTCAGTAAACAACTGACACGTCGTTCATCAAGAGTTGTTCAGGGAGGGCAGGAGCTTTCTGCATTGTCACAGTCATCTTACGTTACGGTTCACCACAAATGGGCGGCTGAACATCTGGAAGCAGATGTCTGATAATCATTCTCTTGTTTAAACTGAGAATCCAATTTTCACTTCATCCAGTGACAGGGCTGAGGTGAGAGACTACATGCAGAGTTTGAACTTCCTCTCATTAAGCTCTTCATCCTCACCGACACACAGACAAACGCAGGCCCAACAACTCATATCAAAACAAGGGCAAATGATGGAATTTCAGTGTTTAGCTAAAGTGTTTAGTGTTAAAGCAACAGAGCTACAAAGACTTTATACCTAAATGTCATATTCAGCAGTCTGTGCTGTCTAAAACACTAAACATTCAAGTTTCGATGTGAGGTTAAGTTTGAGCAACTAAAACTCACCAGCGACCTGTCCAGGATGTTCCCCGCCTCCAGCTCACCCCAGGACCCTCATATAAACATAAGTAAGACAGATAATGGATGCATGGCCTTGATTCAAATAAATGAATGTTTGTTGGAGGTCAGCCTCTGGTGTTGAAGTCTCTACACGACCTCTGACCTCTTGTTCATCAAACTGTTGCTGTCTTTGATCACGAGGCTACTTGTCAGGTTTAAGAATCTAAACAAATGATTTAATTTTGTCTCCTGCTCTTCCCTCTCTCTCAGACCTCTGAGACTGTGAGCTGGTTAGAAGTGTTTGATTGTTTAACCAGCTCAGACTGATGGGGGGGGGGGGGGGGGGGGGGGGGGGGGGGTGTCTATGTGGTGCCATTATTTTCTCCAAACGCTGGAAATCCATCTCTTCCAGTTCAGAGGCAGACAGAAAGCATTTGGTAAAAAATATATATTCAGGGAGAGAAGTTGATTTGAATTTACGCCGAGCCCCCTGGTTCATATGCAAGCTCTTGTCTCATCAGAATTTATTACTTTTCTATGAGCTGGTGGTTTGCACTGAGAGTACATAAACCTCTGAATAAAATCAATTTAGTGTGAATGTGTGAGGCTTTTTTTTTTTGCTGCAAAGCCTGCTGTCCTTTATGCTTCGCGAGACGATGGAGTCTTTGAGAACCAGCATGAGAAAAAGAGCAAAGTAGTTGAGGATAAATCAGCCATACTTTTCTTTTTTTTACAGTCATTTATGAAAAGGCGTTAAGTGGAAGTGGAGTCATGAAGAGGTTGCGATTAAGTCAAGGTTACATAAAGGTGGCACCGGCTGCTTGTGTGCGCCTGGAGCTGCCAGTCTTGACTCTAGATTTATTAATCCAGGGGCGAGTAGTTAAGCGATAAAAGTGACAGAGAACTGCAGTCAATCCATCTGCCTTTGTGACCTGTGGGATTTTGTGTTTGCCCAAGGCTGATTCCCCAGTGGATGTGTGCCTCCCTAAAAACAGACCCATTCATCAAATGGCCCTGTCATTATATCAGCGGACTTGTTATCGGTCCAAGAATCGGCCACGTTGTGCTGAGGTCACTGTTCACTGTCACTCTCTGATGCAGCAGGACAGTGGAAACTGTGGACGTCAGCTACTAACACGGCGTCGATTGATGTGCAATGATGACTTTATATTTTGTGAATAATATCCCCCTGACTACTCAGTGCCTCAGTCTGTAGAGCACATTTGTCTAGTACATTTAGAGATGGAGTACGTGGGTAGTGCAGAAGCACTGATGACCTTGAGGACCTGAAATGGACCTTGATGTGATATTGTCTCGACCTCTCAAAGAAACAATGTCAAAAAGGAACTTCCATTAACTCATTATTTTACGCTTATTTGGGCTTGGGTTGTGGAGGTAGTGCATTCCAGACGTCCCTATCCCTGGCCATGCTTTCCAGGGATGATGGAACGTGAGTTGGACAGGCGGGTCAGTGCAGTGACTGTGAGACATCCACAGGGAGCTTGGATTAGAGTCCCTGCTCCTTCATGTTGACTGGGGACAGTCTCAGTGTTTTGGGTGTCTAGTTAGGATGTCTCCTGGGAGCCTTCCTCTTGAGGTTTACTGGGCACGCCCAAAAATGCAATTATAATAATAATACACTAGATTTGTGTGAGTGACATTACATGTGAAAGAAAAGAATAGAGTAGGTAGAGGAGACACAGAGCTGTGTACAGAACAAAAGATTGGAGGTGTGTACTGCGGTGCTCTGTGTGGACATTCATTCTGGTTGTCCACCATCTTTAAGTCAAGCTGTGTCCCTCCCAGCTCCTTCTCTCCTCTCATTTCACCCATCGCTGGGTTTTCTTTTGTGTGTGTCTGCGCTTCTGTGCATGTGTCTGTGCATTTTTTTTGTTCTTGTCTTTGGGGCATTTTCCAGTACAAACACCAACCTTGCTGGGACTAGTTGCCCTTATGAGGACCAAAGCTTGGTCCCAATGAGGCAAAACGTCATTTCAGAGCTCTCGGTTTGGGTCAGGGGTGAGGTGCAGAGGCTCGCTAAACGTTTAGGCGTGAAAACAAGGCAGTGTCCTGATAAAATAGATGCAAATCTAGGGGAAAAAAGGCATTAGAGCTTTCTTTTGAAGTTATAGATATCGCCTTTCTCTGTGAGCAAAACTAAATTCACATGAAATGTGTCAGATCAATGTCAGGTGTGTCATACTACTGCAAATATTTTTTACTCAGATTAAAGTATAAAACAAGTAATGTAAAATG